AAGTTAGATTACTAAATAACAAGGTAATAGTAAAGAAAGTAAAGGAGAATAAGGGAAAAAAGAAAAAAAAAAAAAAAAAAAAAAACCAGGCATTATTTTGATGAAAACAATTTTAGAGATTAAAGATCAATAAATTGAACGGGTTACAGTAGCATAACCTATATTGCTATGAAAATTATATCAAGAAAGTTAAATGAAACCGAGTCCGGTGTTAGAGTGAAACGAACGTGGTTTAAGTGGAACGTTGATATCAGACTGAAGTGTATAGTGAAACTTGTGGTTTGATGATTATCCTACAAAACTGAACTACTTTGGCTCGGTGGTATCCCTTTGCTTCTACGACAACAAAGCAGTCTCTACGGAACCGACCCAGCTTTACAACATAAACCTAAGCTAATAAACTTTAAACTGAGCAAAAATGCGTGCAACCTTGTATCTTTTGAATATTCCTTTTTGGTACCGAAAAACTCTGCTTGTCTCCAGTGTTCTTGAATCACCTGCACTTTATTCGTTGTAGGATGATTCCTGTGTCTTGGTTCAGACTTCAGACAGATTTTCTGATTTGTCTGAGATTAGCAGCGACAACAGCCTTGTCCCGGTGGGGCTCGGTGAAGAAGTTTGCATTCACTTAAGGTCACCGATCAGAAGTCAGGTATGCCGCTGGATCTTGACGAGTATTCAGTGACTAATCTAAGGAACATCGATGATTTATCCTCTAGAAGTCGTGTTGGTGTGTCAAACTCCGCAACAAGACCTGCAAAATCCACATCCAAGTTTTTAGGGTGAAGTACAAGGAGAACATTTTTCATAAGAAAAAATATTTCATGGTGTGACTATGTACCATCGCTTAGAACCAAAACCATGTCACTATCAATCACAGTCGGTATCCGATGTGCGATAGTGCAGACGGTGCAGTCTCCAAACTCTGTTCTTAGAATCTTCTGGATGAGATTATCAGTGGCTGAGTCAACCGAAGCAGTTGCTTCATCAAGCACAAGAATTCTCGCTTGTTTAAGAAGCGCACGCCCCAGAGCTACAAGCTGCCTCTGCCCAACGCTCCAATTATCTCCATTTTCTAACACTGCATCAACAGTTTAAATCAACGAGTGAAATCTGGTTCTTAAAATATTTTCCTGCAGGATATATGGAACTTGCATCACCGTAAAGTTAGCTCTATACCTGGAGTATCGAGTTTCTGGTCTTTTGCACGAACTATGTCCCCCAGTTGTGACTTATCTAGAGCCTGCAAAAAAAAAAAAAAAAAAACATCCCAACACATTAGAATCTAATGGTTTTCAAATATGACTGAAATCAGATTATTGTTTAAAAAATTCCACCTGCCAAACTTCTTGATCAGTATGTTCTTCGAGAGGGTCAAGGTTTCCCCGGATAGTGCCTTCAAACAAGGTGGGGTCTTGCGGAATGATACTGAGACGGCCTCGGAGATCATGAAGGCCAATGGAAGAGATATCAATGCCATCAATGATTATTTGCCCTGCATATGGCTCTATCAGCCGGAATAGTGCTTGGATCAGGGTTGATTTACCACTTCCTGTGCGTCCCACAATCCCAATCTTCTTGCCACCAGGGAGCACACAGTTGATTCCATGAAGGACGGTTGGCAGATTCTCTCCATAGCGAACCTTTAAACACAGAGGATAGAGGATGAATAATGTATGAAGCTATGACATTTGTCTGAAACAGGTTAAGAGAAGATTCAAAATTTGATGTACCTTCAAATTGTTGATCTCAATGGTTCCGTTCTCTGGCCATGTGGCCGGAGGGTGAGCATCCTCAATCAACGTAGGGGCTTCACTGGGAATTTGACTATACTGGTAGATTCTTTCAATGGAGATGATTTTGTTCTCTAGCTTACAAAAACTAAGTATCCACCGAGAAAGGCGAGCGTTTAAATTAAGGCCATAGGTTACTGCAAGGCCAGCCATGCCTATACAAAGGTAAATAGGTACTTGGTAAAAACAACAGATCCTTTACTAATAAGTTTCTGGCTAGAAATGCAGACCATGATCTACAGATGAAAAAGAGAGAATGAGAAGCTTACTTGGATCAATTGTTCCATGCGGAAAACTAACAAGCAGGAGCATACAGAAGGCAAAGACGAAAGTAGAGAGTAGTTCCATGCGTAAACAGAGCCACTCTATTGCAGCTATGCTGCAGAAGAAAGGGCGGGCAAAGCAGTCTAATAAATAGAGGTTTCTCTTCATGAAACGTTTTTCTTGGCCAAACCCTCTGATCGTTGCTGCACCCGCGATTGACTCACCGAAAAGATGGATAATTGGAGATTTCTGTATGCTCACAATCCGAACCAGCTCTCTAGACGAGGCCATGTAGTATTTCTGCGTTTTTAAGTGAAAAAGTTTGCCGTTAGACATAATGCAAAGAGAAATAAGTCAGAATTCGCGCCTATTGAATCCCTGAGTTTACGAAAACAACATAGAAAGAATCTTCAAAAATTAACAGAAATCACCTGCATCCACAAGCAAGCAATGCCGGTTGGAATTACAAGAAGAAACACTTGCCATGTAACGTTTGTCATCACACCAACAATCCCGATGAGCTGTATTGTTGTCGAAGCGAATCCTCCGAGCCTAAAAGGAATATCGAGATCTACTACGCTTTGATCAATAGACACCTGAAAGGTACATAATAGCAATGAGGAATACTAGGCATGAAGAGAAGACGTCATAATTATAGTTTGATTAATTATAAAAAGAACCAACCCGATTTAAGATCCTTCCAGCAGGAGTAGAGTCGAAAAAGGACATTGGCGCGCGGAAAACACTCCTGAGCATGTTCAGAAACAGCTTCTGGGCAGCTGCAAGGCCGAATGTGGCGACTAGAATAGCTCGGACAAAGATAAACACTGAGCTACCAAATGCTAGGGAAATAAACACGAGGAGAAGGACCGTGGAGCTCACTTTAGCTTGGTCCCCCTCTGTTTGTGGATTTGCCCAGGCCATCCACCAGTTACTTGCAATCTGAAGGAACTGAAACAGTGATTGTGCAATGATTATGAGAGGAATCAACAATCCTTTATAGGCTGCAGCCATATATGACCAGTACACCTTCATACTGACTCGTCCCCGCACACGTTCCTCTTCCTGCACCAGTTGCTTCTTTCTAAGCCGCTTTGCTTTCTTTTTCTCTTTAATGGCTTTCTGGTTAGACCCTGATGGCCCTTCTTGGACCTCTTTGGCTAGAATCTCAATGTTGCTCGAGGAAGCATTGGATTTCGGATTGTGCGGCAATGACTGGTCTAGCACCTGATTGCTGTCAGAGTCCTCTGATGAATGGTTGGGAATGTCCATTGCTTCAATAGCTTCATGATGAGCAGACACCAGAGATAAGAAATCGGTTCCTGCTTGTAGCAGCTCTTCATACTTCCCTGACTGTATAATTTTTCCATCCCTAAGTACCTGCAGATAAACAAGAAAGTTCTTGAAGCGCTTTCTTGGTGTTGCATACTTTCTGGGTATCTTAATATATATAGAATAATTGGTATGAGATTGGCAGATGGCCATGTCGAAAAAATCCTTACCAATATAAGATCTGTGGTAGGAAGAAACTCGACCTGATGAGTTACGAATATCACAGTCTTGTCTGCCAGAGCTGTCAATATATATTCCTATAGTACGCAAATGCAAGATTTAAGTAAAGCTTTTGATGCAAAGAGAAATACATACGACAAAGTGTTTGACAAAGATAGTTATTCGGTTAATTAGAAAGAAACCAGAAGTGCACCTTGAAGAGTTCGGAGCCAGTGTGAGCATCAACAGCACTAAAGGGGTCGTCGAGTAGATATATATCAGCGTCCTGGTATAGTGCTCTTGCGAGCTGAACTCTCTGCTTCTGACCACCGCTAAGGTTTATGCCTCTGTCACCGATAATGGTCTGATCGCCATGTGAGAATAGTTCCAAGTCCCGTTTCAATGAACAGGCATGTATAACATTCTTGTACTTGGCCTTATCCATTGGACTGCCAAAGAGAATATTTTCTTCTATATTTCCAGACTGAATCCAGGCGGACTGTGAAACATAAGCAGCACTACCGCATATTCTGACCTGTGTATTTCAGTGTACATATCGTGAAATTTGCTAGAGGAAAGTAATTTTTATCCCTGAAAAAAATGAAGACAGATGCATGTTTTGAAGGTTCTTGAAGTATTTCACTTACTTCACCCGAGATTTTAGGGATTTCTCCGAGTATACAAGAAAGAAAACTTGATTTCCCTGAACCAACGACTCCACAGACAGCTACTCGCATTCCTCTCTGAACTTTCAAGTGAATCCCAAACAAAGTTGGCCTTACCCATGAAGGATCCCAAGAGAAACAACCGTCGTTGATCTCCACCGATGTGTCTGACATACCTTGAGAAAGGATTATCGTAGCATCTTCCTGCAGCTCTTCCTCTAGCAGAAATCCTGATATCCGATCAAGAGATACTTTAGTCTGAGCCATCATAGACACCAGATCAGGAAAATTCCTAAGTGGCTCCTGAAGAATCCTGAATGTTGCAAGCGCAGAGAGAACACCGCCTGCAGTGAGCTGAGTTCCCAAGCCTATAGCCGTAGCAAACGTGATAGCAGCTACAAATATCGGTGAACTCCAGAATATAAATGTAATAAACGCTTGGGAGTATAAAGCCTTTTGAAGCCATTTAAACTCTGTATTCCTCATGTCTTCAAGTACAACCCGGTACCTATCCTCCCAAGCCTGCAATTTCAGAATCCTCATGTTCCTCAAACACTCCGAAGTCTTCCTCATTCGCTCATCCTTAGCAGTCATCAATTTGTCCTGATAGTCCTCTTGAATTTTCGCCAGTGGGATAGTGGCAATTATAGAGAAAACTGTGGCCACCAAAGTGGCTAAAGCCGCCAGTCCCACACTCCTATACAAAATCCCGAGAGCAAGTACAATCTGTAGAGGAAGCATCCACATATCATGGAGGTACCACGAGTAATCACCTACTCTCTGGACATCAACAGCCATGTAGTTTACAATTTCGCCACTCGTGTGGTTCTGTTTGGTTAAACTTGAGAGTTTTAGTCCTTTTCGGTACACCATAGCCGTTAGAGCTGATCTCACATGCATCCCCAAGATATCGACCCCAAGATACCACTGCCGAGTTGTTAGAGTCTCTGCAAGTTTCGCCACAAAGAAGATCCCAGCGAGGATGTAACCCTCGTGAGGGTAAGTCTCTTTCCCACCCAAATAATTAACAAAGTCATTCAACAAATAAGGACCAACATAAGAAACAAGAGTGTTCAAGCCAGCAAAGACTGCATTACAAGCCGCTTCTTTCCAAAAGGACTTCAAGATCGCCCAAGCAAGAGAAGGAGGTTTCGAAGGATTCTCAGCTTTTAACTTCTCCCATTTAAAGTTCAAGACTTTGTAGTTCGTCTTTGCTCGGTCTTTAGGAGCGAGCAGAGGAATATCCTTGAGATCCAAAGGCCTCTTGGCGCCAAGTGAAAGAAGAGGGTTCAGCCACGAAAGCGTAGCGAGGCTAAACAATCCAGCGTCACTATAAGAAGTAACATTGAGACACCCTGCCTCTTCTTCTTCAACAAGCAAAGGCTCATGAAGATAGGAATTAGTAATAACTCGAAGACCTGACGCACCTCTGAAACCAAGGAAGCAGAGAAAAGCCAGAGCCGGAGCTGCAACAAAGTTCCCAACAGCGTGAGACGACAAATGGTTTGAGCTGTTTACAACAAGCTCTCTGGAGTCAATAAACAAAGCCCATAAACAGATAAAGAATCCCACAACCCACCATAGCCTTGACAAGAAAGGGAACTTTTCAGCAGAAGTGTATTTACATCGAACAACTGATGTGCACAACACTAACCACGCTAGAATCTGTGTAGTCGGCGACAAAATCACATAAATATCGCTTCTTTCCTTAATCACTCCAATAACATCAAACACTAACACCGAAACTTGCACGATTAGAACATAGAAACAACAAATCACAGAGAATTTAAAGCCTCTGGTGATTTCAACGTCATGGGTTTCTCCGCCAACACCAACAACATTGACGACGGAACTCGAGTTCCCTACAGAGTCATGTTTGAAGAACCGACCTCGACGGAGACAGTAAAGTAAGCGTCTTGCGGAGATAACGAGAAGAGATACAAAGAAGAGAATCAAATTGATACAGATCAAAGACGATTCCACCACTGGCAAATCGAGAACAGCTCTCAGATTAAAACCCATTACCGATTAGATTGTCAAAGATTGAGCTTCTGAGCTAAACAGCATTGACGAGACGAAGAAATCGGAGCGATTCAACATCAAGGTAATGTAAGAAGCGTGAGAGAGAGAGAGAGAGAGAGAGAGAGAGAGAGAGAAGATGTAATATTTTTTAGAGCAGAGTCACGATGGTGGTAGAGAGAAACGCAGAATCTGAAAGACACATCGCACATGGAAACAAAACGAGTTCACGTCAGAGTCGAACACGTTTGAAGAACACAAACATATAAAAAAGGTATTTTTTTTTTTCTTAAAAATTGAAACTTTTTTAGTTATTGTTGTTGTTGTGTAAAACCTAAACACCATCGATGTTATCTAGAGAAGACATAAGAAGACAAAGCACAACAACTTTATAAATAAATAAACACACAAACCTGTCGTGTGATCAATTCAAAGACAATGTCGCTTCTGCTTCTGCTTCTGCTTCTCTTTCTCTCTCTCCTCCCCCAAGAAAAGAGAGAGAGAGGATCTTGAATTGTAGAAGAAGAAGAAGAATAAGTGGATTGTAAAAAGAATAATTAAGGAATTAGATTTTGCTTTGCCCTCTTCTCCCTGATGGGATCAATCTGAAACTCTCTGTCTTAACACAGAAATTGATTGAATGTGTAAGAGAAGATACAGTTGATACGTAGATGTAATAGTAGTGGAGGCTTTTGATCTTCTTCATATAGCCTTTAATAGTAATCAATTATTAATAGTTATCTTACTGTATTAAGTATTATATTTATTATTCCAATAAATCTAGAAAATTTCCTTCTTTTGTCTTTTTTTTTTTTTGTTTTCTTTTTGACAAAAGTAGATCTCACAACATTAGTAATTAATTTGTTAATTTGCCATGCTACTACTTTCATTAAGAAAACTAGATTCGGATCCGCGCTACAGCGAGGGGGAAATAATTACATATATATAACTTTTAACGAATTACAATATATTATATTTTAATTTTATTGCAATGCAGTCGATTACGGTGAATCATATATTTGTATAATAAATTTAAATAAAATAATAAAACGAAAAAGCGAGTAAATAATAATACATTGAGTTTGGATTCAACTAAAAAACAGTGAAAAATGAACGGCACGAAATAATATGTATCGACAAATTATTCAATTTGACCATTTTGTAGTAGAAGTAGAAATATATGTAAAAATTACATACTTACAATGTATCTTTTGAAGGACCAACCCGTAACAAAATTCATTTTGTAAAAAACATTATTCATAACTTGCTTTACCATTATAATTGTGATTTTAACAAACTATCTGAAAACTATCTAAAATTTACATAGTTTGATATATAATATATTTTATCAATAAAAATTATGTCTCCAAAATTACATCTATATCTTCAATAAAATATTTTTAATAATTTCAATTCTAAATTTTTATATATATTTGAATCTTTTAATTATAATATTTTGAAATTTTTGAAACTTTTAAATATGCTCATGTAACAATGGTTTTAATATTAATCATACGTATACTGATTTTAAATCATTGTCCAAAATATTTAACCTTGTAGTTGAGTATTGAAAAAATTCAAATTGCAACATAAGCAAAAAAATATTAATTTTTATTAAATATTTTTATTATATAGCATAATATCATAAATTAAAAATACTATCAAATTAAATTTAAAGAAGAATAATAATTGATTAGTTAGAGAAATATTAGGAAATCATAAAATTAGTTACGGAGATAATATAATCTTAAAATTAGATATGGAAAATATCCGATGTATGTATCCAAACCCAAATTAATATCCAACTTTGAAGTATCCAATTATTAAAATCGGGTTAATTTTTTAATTTTGACCCGACCCGTATTCTATTTTGTACTTCTCTTTTACTAATATAGAGATAATAATTAACCACTATTAAATAAAAAGTTCCTTGATCGTGTGATATGATCATATGAATATGATAGTGTGGGATGTCAAAATGGATTAAGTCTCCACATGTCACGTTTTCTATTAATACAATTATTTAACATTTTTTAAAATACACAAACATATACTAATTAGTACGTTTGTTAATTACATTAAGTTTTCTAGTGAACAAAACATACAGTTCGGCTAGGCTTGGGCATAAAATCCGAATCCAAAAATCCAAACCGAATCCCGACCGAAAAAATTGGAATAAAACCGAACCGATATTAAAAAAATAACTGATCAGTTGTTAGCTTTCATTATTTTTGGATATCGGATTAAACCCTATCCGAATCGATATCCAATAGATATCCATATATACCTGAAATTATAATATAAATTTTAATATCTTTAGGATATATACAATATATACTTTAATATTTTTAAGATATATACGTTTGCCGCATATACTTTAATATCGTTCTTGGCCATATCTTGATTGTAGGTGGGTAGAAGCTTGAGTTTCTTCCTCTCATGGTCTTGAAGTTTTTTAAAAATTTATTTTCAATTTGATTTAGGATGTTACTGAATTTTGCTACTTTTCATTAGGAATTTATGGTTTATTTTGGTTTTATTAAAAAATTTATGTATTAACACAGTTTATGCTTCACTTATATATATTGGTATGGTATTATGTTAATTGGTTCTTTGAACTTGTCATTTGTCTCATTTTTTTTTTATATACTTGGATAGGATAGTATGGATTATTTGAGTATAATTAGATTAAAAAATATCCGAATAAAATCGAATCCAATAAATTTTGGTTAAAATTTAATTATCACAATTATATCCAAACCGAATCGAAATCCGAATTATCCGAACCGAAACCGAACTAAATTTTTTAAATACCCGAACGGATGTTAGAATCAATATCCAAAAAATCCAAAAACCGAAAAATCCAAACCGAACTCGATCCGATATCCAAACGCCCAGGCCTTCGGCCATAGAACTTCATAAACACTTGATTAATTTATATATATGTTTACAATGTATTAATTTGTCTTTCTTTTTGGTTACAAACTCACTTTTTTGTTATTGTCATTGGTTAATTTACACTGACTGATATGATCAACCATAATAAACCAAACCAAATTCCCCAGATATAACTGAAATACTGAATACACACAACTGAAAATACAAAATGGAAAACAACACAGCCAAAGTATTGTTTCGATTTGATTTGCTGAAAAATCAAATCAAATCAAATCAAAACAATATATTTAGATTCGCTGACAGAAAAACGTTTTACTATTCCAAATTTTTTTCTTAATTGCTTGTGAAGCAAGTAAGATGGTTCTTCCTCAATAACCCTTACACGATCCCTTCCCGTACTCCGTCAATGGAGATCCGCTGATCAGTAATCTTCCACCGTCGTCTTCTTGGTGGATGCATACTTTCTCTTCCCCTTACTTCCGACAAGCCCAGCCGCCGCATCATTGTAAGCATGTGCAGCCATCTCCGCTGTTGGAAACGTTCCAAGCCATCTTCTTACTTTCAAACTCGGATCCCATATCTCTGCCGACCATGTACCTGATAATGGCTTGTACATGAAAGTAGATAAACTAGTACTAGAACAAACTCAAATTAAAGCTGTTGAAACATCGTATAGGTAGGAATATAGTTCACCTGATGGCTTTTGCCTAACTCCTTTGTACTTCTTCTGATCCTTCTTTACGATATGATCTCCATGTCGTGGGAATACGCAACCGTAGCAACCAGTGATAACACAAAGAGGACAAGGACCAGCGTCCAAAGGTGGAAGACGTGATTCGCATGTTGAGGAAGTAGTAATGTCACGTCCTCCAGAGTTGGATATCATCACTTGTCGCAAAGCAGAGACCATGATCACATGCTCTTGATCTCTTGTCAAACAAGGAGTGACCAAATTGCTGTCTTGATCGTACGAGGGAACATTTCTTGAATCCATTTTCTTTCTTTTTTTTTGGGTGGAAACCAAAAAGGGGTTTTATATACTACGAACGTACGTGGTCTTATGTGAATCTTAAATATCTTTTGTACACGCGGCACCAAGTCTTGTTTACGTCATTATGTATGTAATAAAACGCGAATTTATAGAAGAAAACGCGATCGTTAACTTTTATTCAACCCACTTGTTGGAGTGTTGACTATCGTTTTCTTGTCGAGCTTTTTATAAAACTGGTGTGGTGTGAAGTGTGAACTCAGTACAACGAGTACGTTTCTTATTCACAATGTCACACATGCATTAAAACGTTGTAATTTGTATACAGTACTTGTCTTTATTCATCTTTGTTTTTTTCTGTTTAACTAAATTAATCATTCAGTTTATTTTGTTTTTTTAACACCTAATTGAAGGGTGTCATTTAGGCCGGTTGGGTACGGAACCGAGTATTTTTGAATATTGATATATATATACTCGATTACTTCGATTCTTATGTGTAATTAAAAATATTTATTCGTATAGTCTTACTTTAACTTTATTTAGTTTGCAAATATCTAGTTTTACACATGTGAAATCTTATATGTTCACTAACACGTTAAAAATTATTCAGAAATCAATTTGTCAAGACTAAGGCCATGTTTAACGCTGTATCCTCTCGGGGCTTCGAGCAATATTTAAAACAAAAATAATGAAAACAGTTCGTGAGTAAGAGTCATCCGGTTGTTCGATAAGAAGTTTTCGGAGTCGATTCTTATGCCACGTGGCGCTTCATGATAGGTTAAAAAATCGAGTTAACAAAACGATTATTATTTTCTGTTTTGTCAAACGAAACAAAATTCCCAAATCGACACGATATTCCTCTTTGGAACCCTAGTTTCAGAGAACTCAACGATGAAGGATCTCGTCTCTCTCTCAATGACCGCCGATGAGGTAAACTCGATGCCGAAAAATCTCATCTTTTGATTGTTTACAATAATGTTGGTTTTCTTATTTTATTTCGGGATCGTACTGTGTTGAGTTTTGAATTTCTGAGATTTGATCTGAAGTAAATCAATGCGTTGTTGTGGGTACACGGATTTGTGTTCATAACCCTTTTCTAATCTCCAACGTCTCTTACTCGGCTAAATTTTTGTGTACAGGACATTCTAGTTGGATTTTTGATGGCTGGAATTGGTAATGTTGATTTTTGATTCAAGCTCTTCGGTAGAAGAAGAAGTAATGGAGTTTGCTTACCAGAAGCTTGGACACATTTGATCTCGTTGTCCTTAGCTGGTCTTTTATCAGTTAAAGACTCTTGATTTTGATGTTTTTGTTTGTAACAGGGCAATGCAGCGATTGATATAAAAAAGCAACCAAAGAGATCTGAGGCAACCCTTCTCTCCTCTAGTTTGTGGTTAGTTCTTTAAAACCTCTTTTCTCCTCTGGCTTGTGTTGATGGCTTTTGAATCTTAGCTTAGGTAACTAATGACTTTACTGATTCGATTAGCTTAGATTTTGACTAGTGTAGTAGCTTAGTGTATGCGTTTACATTGTGTTTGATGTTTGAAGTATCATTGTGCTTTTGTTTGAAAGCTATTGTCTTGTCTTTTTCTGTATGCGTTTACATTGTGTATTGCCTTGGTACATGATTTATATATGTACGTGATACTTATTATAGCAGAATGTGTAAGTGTATTCCTTGGTACGTGTTAGTTATGTAGTCTTCTTTCTTAGAGTAAATTTTTTCAGATTTTTGAGCTCATCTTTGGTTTTGTTAGATTTCTCTTTAGTTCTTGACCTGGATTGTGCATAGTGTCTATAAGCTTTATGTGTATCATCTACTGAATCAAAGGCGTGTTTTATGTGTTATCATAGCATATTACTATATAAGCATGTAAAGTTGAATTTTTCTTACTGCATATTCCTCAAAACGTTAATCTGCATATTGTGATTGAATAGCTGTGTTGCTATCTTAACTTGTCAGGCCTTACTTTAGAATTTGTGTCATGCAAAAAAAGCAACTTGCATCATGTCATGGAACTTATGGAACATGAGTTTGTATATTGCATTAATCCCCCAATGCTTTTTCTGTGTGGATTTTTTGCAGATCTTTACACAAAAAGGATGTTTCAGCTTTTGTTGTCTCCCTACTCCACAATTACCATGCCTGATGGTCGTGAGGAATCTGTCATGAAACGTACCACACTTGTTGCCAACACTTCTAAGTTAGAAGTTCTAACGTACCACACTTGTTTCATTCATGTTCTCTTTCTTGTGTTTTTGAACCAAACAACTTACCAATTGATCAATTTAGCCATATATTAACTACACATGATCTATTAAAGTTTGTCATTTTAATGTTTATGTTTCTATCTTTGTGTTTCTCATTTTTATCTTAATTGTTTTTTTCTTTAATAATTTTGAATTGTATTTTTTCATTTTTATGTTTGTATTTTTTAAAGTTTATGTTTTAAATTTATATGTTTCTATCTTTTATGTTTATAATTTTTATCTTTATTGTCTTTTATTTTTATTATTTGTTTTATAAAGTTTGTTTGTGTTTTGTTTAAAAAGATTTATAAAGTTTGTTATGTTTTGTTTATAATTATATGTTTCTATATTTATTGTTCTAATTTATAAGTTTAAATAATTTTCCATTTTTAAAATTTTCAAATTAAATAATAAATTTATCATTATTATATTATTATAAATGTAAGAACCTATGGGTTCAACCAATAACTACTTAATTTTGCTTGGTTCTTAAAATACACTATTACATTATTAATATACTATAATTATCCTAAGATGCATCCTCTTGCTTATGCCTTTGCTCATGCCCTAACATTCGTTAAAACTCTGATCGGCTGATTGACACATGTCACAATTATATTAATTATCAATTTTTGGATATCAAATTTTGTATAGTAAAATTATATAGTTAAATCATTTTTAACTTTTACCATATAATTTCTTTCTCAATATATATTTACAAAAAAATCCAATTATTTTATTATCAGGATTAGTAATTTTCAAAAATAATATTCGTAATTCTTTTATTTTTCAAGATTTTTTTAATTTATAATATTATTTTAAATATAAATTTTTTTTTTTCATATTTCTCGAAATCTTCTCGATAGCTTTCACATGTGTAGCGATCATATTAGTTACTTAATTTGAAAATCAAGTTTTATATAATAAAATCCTCATATTTATTGACAATTCATGAGTAAAATTTTATTTCCCGTTACAATTGATGAGAAATAAATACAGTACTCTTTCACAATGGAACATAAAGTGTATAAAAATCAAACCATACTTTATAAGTCTCTGACTTTAGCACAATTTGTAGTACCTTATATTTTATTATCAAATCAAATTAAACCAAACCAAACCCAACCCAAATGTTCCGCTCTGTTGGCAAAAAAACGTTTTATTACTTGTGAAGCAAGAAAGATGCTTCATCCTGAATAACCTTCCACGCCTCCTTCACGTGCTTCTCCTCCGTCAATGATGCTCCTATGGCGCAACGTAGTACGATCTTTCCCGACAAAGCCTGTTTCCCCAAGCAAAGCAAATCCATATAATAACATATAAGCTGATCATTAAAATCATTATCCAGCCAGAACAAGAAGAAGAAGGTAGTGACTAGTGAAGTCACTTACAGTGTGAGAAATGAAGAGTTTCCCTGAAGAGTTCACTGCGTCTAGGAGTTTGCGGTTTTGTTCATTACACTTCTTTTCATCGTTTCCCTCAGGTACGAGGCGGAAACAGACAAGAGAAAAGATCCTAGGAGTTACAATCTGAAAATGAAAACAATACATTAATCACTTACCATAATCTTTTTTTCAGAGAGTAGTCTTAGAGATTTTAATAGTTACTTCAAAGTTAGGATCTTGAATGACAAGTTGTTCGAAATCTTTAGCCAGTTTGATATGGTTTCTTATATAGCTCTTCAAGGCCTCAGTTCCATAGAGCCGTAGAACCATCCATAGTTTCAATGATCTGTCAAAAAACAAAAACAAAACTCAGATTGTATCTTTCTATGCAAATGTTCTTTACAAAACTTCGAGTTTAAGTAATTTATATAAAAGCAAAGAACCTGAATCTTCTTCCGACAGGGATTTGCCAGTCTTTGTAGTCAACAACCAATCTTGCTTGAGAGGCCTGCATGCCAAACAGATGTAATAAGAAGAAAAAAAATATTCACTATTGGAGTTTTTTATTTTTGTGAAGAGCAAAATCTTTCTTAGTTACCTTGTTTTTGAGATACTCTGGATTTGTTGAAAGAGCATTAGTGAGAGACTCTTGATCCTGTTCTCCAAAGATTTAATTATTTTTTATGAAAACACGAAGTGACAAGGGTGAGATTAAAAGGGCTACTATATATATATACCTTAACCCAAAGTAGTGTACAATCGAAATTTGTAAAAAACCATTTGTGAGCATTCATGCTAAAAGAGTCTACAGTTTCCACTCCGTCAATGTATTTTCGGTACTCTGGACATATACAAGCACTTCCAGCATATGCTGCATCCACGTGAAACCACATGTCATTGCTCTGAGAAACGTAGCATTAAGAGAGATACGATCAGTTTCTATAAATGTCATAAGAAGTCTCAATGAAGCTTGTTTGAATATATTGTGAAATAACTAACTAACGTTAGCGATCTTTCCCAATGCAGCTAATGGATCAACTGCGGTTGAAGAAGTGGTTCCAACCTGGAGATAACAAATAGAATTGTCAGAGGACATGTTTCACCAAGAGGGGAAGTACGTAATAGGCTACTTCTTACATTAGCACATAAGAAGAATGGAATCAATCCAGCTTTAAGATCTTTTGAAACAGCTTCTTGAAGCAATTCTGGACGCAAAGCGTAATTTGTAGAGGCGTCTGTCTCCAACACCCTGAAATTCTCTGGATGGATTCCAGCAATCTGTCAACAATAAACCGGAAGAATATTAGCTTTGTTTTGACAAAGATTTTTAAATTTCAAATCCGGCAATATTTTCACCTGGGAAGACTTCTGTAAAGCTGAATGAGTCTGGTCAGAGGAGTAGACAACGAGCTTCTCAAGCGCGTTTTTGCCAACGCTTCTTAAGACCTTATCACGGGCAGCAATTAGAACAACAAGAACAGCTTCACTAGCTGACCCTTGTATCACTCCACCTCCATTTCCTATACAATATACAATTCAAGCCACACTTATTAGGTCTTATATAAGCAAACAAGTTTTGTATGTTTTTTTTTATATAGCAATTACCTTTGGATAGAAAGGGCTCTGGTAGGTTGAGCAGTTTGGCAAGCCAGTCAAGAACAATCATTTCGAGCTCGGTGGCAGCTGGAGAAGCTATCCAACTAAAACCAATAATATTAAGACCAGCACTCAACATCTCACCCAAGAACCCGGCAACACTGCTGCTAGCAGGGAAATAAGCAAAGAAACTTGGGCTTTGCCAATGCGTTACTCCAGGCAATATCTTCCCCCGAACATCTGAAAACCAAATCAAGTTTATACGTATATACTCTGATCAACCAAAAACTGCAAGTGTGGGTATTCAGTTATCTCACCATCAAGAACTTGGTCCAGCGTTTCAGGATGGTCTGGTGCGGAATCAGGCAAAAGCTTATGAAGATAACCAGGCTGCATCGAAACAAGTATATACCAACACAGTGAATAAACCAGAGAGAGAGAGAGAATTATTAACACACAAAAAGAAGAAACTTGGTACACTCCTCTTTCAGTTCAAACAAGACTAAAGTGAAGATTTTGTCTACTGTTTGTAATTAATGTTAAAACTTTATTGCAACCATTAGCTACCAGAAATGCCAATTTGGTTACAACCTGGAACATATTGGAATAGGACACAGTGACATATATAACCAAGTGGTCTTGGTCTAGTGGTTTCCACTTGTTGGTCTATTAGTGTGGCTAGGGATCGATTCCCCTAAAGCGTGAAAACACTCGATATTTCCACTTGACCATGGGCTTTTACCCCCTCTCCCTAGAGGGATTACGGGACTCGGCACTGAACTTTCTAAAAAAAAAAGTTAACCAAAAAAAGAAAAAAGGAAACAATGACCTGAACTTGGCTAAGAACAGGAAAACTTTCGATGGATTTGTAATAATCGGCAATGAAATCAACCATTCGATATCCGTATTCTCGGAGTTGCTCTGAATCCATAGTCTTCAACACGTTCCTGCTACCATTTTCCCTGAAGAAGCAAAAGAACAAAAACCAAGACAAGTTGTGTCGTCTGAAATTATGAGAAACAAAATCGGATTCCAAAATCTTCAATGACTCACATTTTTAAATATTTTCTTGCGTCTGTTATGGATTTGTTTCGAGTTTCCCAGTTGGACTGATTTATAGGACCCGAATCTTACCAAAAATGGACAAACTAATGAATGAGAAAATTAATAGAGTAACCTAACCACCGAAATATAATGGACACAGTAATGAATGAGAAAATTAAATTTCCGTGTGGCAGACGTTAGATATGGGCACAGATCGAGGAAATTAATCGTATGTGACATGTTGAGATTTCAGAGAGATTTGTTCATCTTTTTCTCATGTTCTAATCTTTTGATTTTTGTTTTTATTTTCTTTGACACAAACGACGCACCTCATTTGTATTAAACCAATAAGTAGCATTCATTGCGAGCAAAGTCCCTTCTTGATTTCATTCATATACGTGACAATGATTATGCTTGGATCCCAAGATATTTGCTAGACGATCATCATGTACTGGTGTTTTTTTCGTTCTTTCCTCAGGGTCTAATCAGTCTCCAGGGAGTTCAACCGAAGCAGAGTATCAATGTCTTTCAGATACATTCAGCAGAGTGTAACTTAATTGAAAGTTCTGTTGCAGAACAATGGTTGTACTGCGATAACCTGTCAGCAATTTATTGTATCTCTCTGCTAATTAATCCTGTTTTGCATCAAAAGACTAAGCACTTCAAAACACATTACCATTATGTTCGAGAACAAGTTGCAGAAGGCACTCTAATCATTCAACATGTTCCTGCAGCTCACCAACTTGCTGATATATCTCACATTAATTTTCTGCAGCTCACCAACTTGCTGATATATCTCACATTAATTTTTCTGCATTCGCGACTGATACAAACATACTCTAGTCTTAAAAATTTCCTGAAAAACTTAACTGAATTTCATATTATATTATGTTGTTTTCAATCGCATGTTACATAACACGTTCCTAACAATAATATACAAATCATTGGTTATTATCGAACCAAACCGAATTGGAATAGCTTCGGGTTGTGGGCACTTGGCAAAAACCGTTTTGATTCTTCTTTTTTCTCATGATTACTTGAGAAGCACGAAAGATGCTTCATCCTGAATAACCTTCCA